GTGTGTGTGTGTGTGTGTGTGTGATCTTGTTTTAAGCAGAGGGGTATTTATAGCTGGGGAGAGAAACCACCAGTCTGGATTTGGTCCCGGTTGCCCCTGCCTGACTACTCTGTATGTGTGTGTGTGTGTGTGTGTGTGTGCATGTGTGTCATTTAGTGACCACTGGGAGTGTAAAAGTAGTCATCAAAGAAATTCATCTGGTTCACAATCTCTATAAACACACACAAGTTGGTGAGATTGGATGACTGATGATCAGAAATTAACAAGAATTACAGAGGAAAAAGCACATCAAGTGTCAAGTGGAGCACAGTAGCACACACATACACACACAAAGAAATACACAGGTCATGCCACATGATCGAGGGGGAGGAAAAAGAAGTGAAGATGATAAATTCTTTAACATTTCTGGTGTGGATCTGGATCAATAAGAGGTTTTTTTTCACTTGATATAACATTGTGAGTTGGGGCTTTGTTTATTTTGGAAACACTCACCAATTTTCCAACAAATAATTCATGAACAAATCCGGCATATTTATGGGACTGATATCTGTGAGTGTGTGGAGTTTGGTGCAGCTTGACTGAATTCAAGGAGGCCTTAAGCACGGGCTGTGACGGTGGTATGTGCTCTATACTGAGTCTACAGGCACTCCAGTTCTGCTGCACACTGAGTCAGTGAAGTATCCTCCACATTACAACAGACTTCACAGAGCAACAGACCGTAGCTGTGACCTGATCGTTGGTTGTACTCACAGGAACGGTTGCCCTTTCAACGACTGCAACTGTGACTGCTCAGAAACTATTTGTTTGTATTACGCAAGCAGCGGGCAGTTGTTAGCGCATACCATGCTAAGCTTTTTAACTTAACTTTTTTTCAGGGCCACAATAGCTTTTCGCTGAGTTGGAAAATCACAGGAGACAGGCTTAAAGCTGGTCTTTTGTTGTTGTTAGGCTGTCCTCCAACCACTGAACAGTCGCTCACTCTCGCATCCTCCCTCTCTGCATCTCTCTGGTGTCAATAGTCAGACAAAGCCCTGGTCGCTGGCTGCCATATGCTGCCCTGTTGCACATAAGGAACAGCACTCTTTGAACTTCTGAGGGGGGGAATCAAACCTTCTTCATGGTAAAGTATACAGGGGAGTGTCCAAGATCAGCTTGACATTGCTGTTCCCTTTCATATGGAAGTATTCAACATTTTGTTTACTTTTCGAGTAACCACCATCCCCATTTACTAATAATACAGGTTCTGGAGGATTTCTATAGGGTAACACAAATAACAACAGATACAAACTAGAATGGCACCCAGCAGTTTGCATACCTCCACCAAACAAAATCTTGAACTGTTACGAAAAACATTCCTTCATCTGCCTCCTGATCTAGATCTGCACCCAGATTCTTCCCCGACACATATTGCATCCCTCCAGCAAGTTTCATCTAATATTTCAAAGTACTCAAAGTTCATATATAAATGTTGGATATACAATATAATGATGATATATTGTCCCTTTCACGCTCGCCCTCTCTCCTCACACACACGTTTTATTCTGACAGGGAGTAGGCAGGACCATATCTAATCCAGAGAACAGGCTGTTTAAGTGTGTCTCTGCTATAATCTGATTAATCTGTCCATTCACACCCTCCTCTCACTGATCTGTTTGAATGTATGTGTGAGTGTCAGCGTGATCATGTGCGTGAGCACGCATGTCAGTATCTGTGTGTGTGTGTGTGTGTGTGTGTGTGAGAAAGAGGCTGCTTGGAAAAGGAGAACAAGAGGGGAAGAAAGGAGCTCACACTTGGCCACTGACCCTTGTATTGTCCATACTATGGTCACCTGTCACACACACGCACGCACACACACACACACATGCACACATGCACACACATTCTTCTTTCCTATAGTTGTGAGGACTAACCTAATCCTAACCCTAAAACAAGTCTTAACGCTCAAAAGGCCATTTGAAGTTGTGTGGAGGGGCCATAAATTGGTCAAAACTGGACCTCATATCTATAGAGGGTCTTGCACGCACTCACACACAAAATCACATTCCCATAAGACACTTGGAAAGATTACATAGACTTGCATTAATTTCATGGAGATGTACCCTAACTCTAAAACTAACCTCTGCTTGCCAAACTATAACCTTTATCATGACCACTGATTTTTCCCTTTTGGGACACAGATGTTGCGTCAAACTGAATGTCCTGCACAAACGAAGTACGGCCAAGGAAGACGTCATTTTCCAGGATTAAAGTTGAAAGCACGTTTCTCTATAGACTGAGCAAACAGGGACGAACTTGTAACCCACAGGTTGACATGTTTGAGCCTAGAGGGGGCCTTTGCTGTACGATTGTCCCACTTAGTCACCAGTGTTTTTACAGTTCTGGACACTGTTGCATCTGGACCCACAGCAGTTGCATAATTAAAGTTGCAAGATTCACGCTGGGGAGGACTCTTCCTCAGCTGGAGTGACAACTGAAACAGCAGCTACTGCTAACAATGTCACATAATCAAGTCAGTTTCGCTCACTTTGCCTCGGTAACCTACTTGATTTTTACATCGCACATACCTGTGATCACAGAAATCATCTCACACCATACATCTTGCCATACGTGCCATATATGTGTGCACTGATTTAATATAATCTGCAAAGGATGTTATAAATGTCTGTTGTGGTCACCTTCAATTTTGTTCTTTTTGTTTTGTGGCAGTTGGTAAACTATGAAGAGACTCACATCCTTCACCCACTCACAGTATCTCTCAGCCAGTGCCCCCAGTCTGACATATTAAAGTAGCGGTGCATTTGCTATATACTCTTTCTATTGCTGGGAATCAAACGTTTTGTAAGAAATAATTTATTTTTTGTTGGTTTAAAAGATTCATAGTCCATCTTTAACTTTATTTGTCTGACCATATAAGCAACAGCATCTGTATCATGACATGTAACTCAATAAAAAGCACAAATGTGTTTGATTTCTCTTTATTTATCTGCCTCTTTTGTACTGAAAGGAACTTGATTCAGAACATCTAGACTGGTTTTAATGTTTCTGAATAACTGAATTAGATTCAATTTTATCAACCGAAGTTTAAACTGAATTTAAATGCCACTTGACAACGCATTATGTAAAACGAGTAGTTTATGTGATTACAGATGATACATTTGAACCCTTTATTGTCTCCATTTTTCTTCCTGTTGATTTTCAGTCAGGGCAAAACAAACAGCATCATAACGGAGACTGACTTTATTCTCTCCACTCTGTCCTTTTATTAGCATTTCAATTTGTCAGTGGGACTAATACCCACACACACAAACAGAGCATTAGTGACGAGTGAGTTTTTTTGGGCTGAATCTTGTGGGAAATTACACGTTTCTCTCTCAGCCATCCTCCATTGTTGAGTCTGAACAAACGAGGTGACCACAGCAGCCCGAGTCGCACAATGACAGACAGCTTATTCAGCTACTTCATCTGTCGCAGCTCCCCAGGGACCAGGCTCAGATCTTTTCCCAGTGCTCCATCTCTTTCTTTCACTTACTCCTTCTCCCCCTTCTTGCTTCCTCTCTCCTTGATTGTCTCTCTTTTCTGACTCTATTAATATCAAAAACATGACTCTATACAGTTTTTGCCTCTTCTATGGATATTTCACACATACTTTTGAATGAAATCATCACCTCGGGGGATGGTGATGAGAGTCAAAGGTGTTACAACAAGCCATATTTCTCATTCCTCCTCGAGAGCATTGTTTTTGTTTTTATTTTGCTTTTTGTCATTTCTCCCTGGGGGTTATAGCACTTGCAAAGAGAGTCATTCCTTCAGAGACACCAGCTCCCATCAGTGCCTTCTGGTCATTACTGGTGCATGGTGGGAACAGCTTGGCGAGGACAATGATTGGCTAGAACAATGAAAC